TATATATATATATATATATATATATATATATATACGCGAAGATTAAAAGTGAAATTCAATGTATTTAAGAATGCTGATATCTTAGTGTGAGTGAGAAGGGGGATTGCGCACTTTGAGGGAAAATAAAACAAATGAAATTCAGCATTTTGCAGTCCGATACTGATTGTTTTTCATTGTTGTCTGACATTTACACTTCCCCATTGTCGCTCTTATGCCATACAAACAACAGACGGTAAAGAGAACATTATTCTGAAGAGAAGATGAACGAAGTAAATGAGATACTAAAATACCTGCTGCTTTAAAGAATATAAGACGTGGTGTTTTTGAACAGACAGCCGTTTTTTTCCTTCTCCCTGAAATAATATTCACCTCTCAAATTATTTTCCCATGTATGGACTATGTGGAACTGTTTTGCCTTGGAAAATTCCTGAAGGTGGCGACAGCGAGTTCCTTTATGTATTGTTGCAGGTCGATTTTTCTTTGTAGTGAGCATATGCACCGGTTTGGAATCCTGTGAAGGGTTTCCGGACACTGAACAACCTCGTTGAGTCCTTACTGGCTGCATCCTAGTTCTGCCATTGAAACTCCTCCAGAAAGAGTAGTAGTGCAGCACTGATGTGTGTAGTAGTGCAGCACTGATGTTACTTTGTTAGACCTCTGTCGCAGCAGCAGTTGCTTTTGCCTAACCAGAAGAGATCGTGAGACTGCGAAAAACATGCGTGCCACGGCCGTCGTGTTGCAGATTTGTGGCGAATTAGTGTAGTGCTGTCTTAGAAACACGCGTCCGAAAGTCTGAGGTAAATGCATTCAGTAACTGCTGAAAAGCATTGTTCAACGTAACATTTGCCGACAATCTTGAGGTAGAAGTTGTTGAAGATAGCGATGAACATTGCCAAAATGCTTCATAAAAAATGATTAGGTTAATAAAGGATAATTAGGAATTTATTAGAGAGATTTGTAATTTTGCAAGAGCTTTTGGAAGTTTCTGCTTTCTGGATTTTTTTTATATGTAACAGTTTCCTTGTAGCGTAGTTTGTACTTCTCTAATACATTTACTGCCATTTCCAAAAATTTTTGGAAGGATATCACTGCAAACGAGACTTAAGCGTTTTTGAATGAATCACTTTTGAATAAGATTTGCTGCAACTTTTCTGTTGACAGTTTTTTACGTGTTGATTAATCAAAA